TGACGAAAGAAGGTCTGAAACGCAATCAAGCCATCTATGACTATCCCTATTTGGAGCAATGGAAGCCACCATAATGTGGTTTGCCCCTATTCCCTTCTCGATTAACATTAGCAATAAGTGATGAAACGTATTTTTCTTTAAAATATACTTCCATTTGTCATTAAATTAGTAAAAATAAATAAACGAATGATGCTAGATGACATACACACACAATACGGGTGGGTGGTGTATATGTTTTTGTATTTTTTATTCATGTGAGGTCGGCATGATTCTCAATCGAATGTGAGAGCAGGTCAATCGAGTGAATAAGTTTCTACTCGCAGAGGAGCTTAATTCTAAATAAACTCTCAAATGTAAAGTTAAGCATAGAAGAGCGCGTGGGAAAAGAAGTAGGTTTCCATTCGGAAGTTACTATCACGGGGTGTCGATCAACCACTACCGTCCAGAAATCCACTGTCAGTTTCTACGCGTGGACCCCATGTTCTCCTAATCAAGTGGCCCCCACAGTCTTCTGTTTAAGATCATCGTGGTTCATGCTTAATAGTCTTTACGACGACTCAATTCAAATATGCTTTCATTCATTATTTTAATACTCTTTTTTACGTACGTATTTTCAATTATATTCACGCAATAAAATATTTTACACGTAAATTTAAATTTTTTTCATATTTTTTAACCATTCATTATCTAAAAAATCACTATTCAAAACTCAATTTTTTTTACGGGTTAGTAAAATTTGTTAAAAAAGATGAAATATGTGGTTGAAAAATTAATAAAAGTTACGAATCTAATAAAATATGTGATTAAAATTGAACTTTGATCGATTAAAAAGTTGATTTTTTTTTTAAACTAATACCAAACAATCACATGTTTATTGCAAAATTTTACTCAGTAAAAAATACCATTATCTAGGTCAAAGTCAACACATGGAAATCGTTAGAGAGGGATAGAGGTGGAAATTCGCGCGCACGAGTATTAATTTATTTGCACCGTGGAGGCTAGTTTTTAAAATTGTACCTACAATTAGGGCAGTAAATGAATCGAAATTATCTATATTTGATTCGATTCGATTCGATCTAATAATTCAAAAAATATTTAATTGTTAAATTCATATCTGATTTGCTATGTTATTAGGTGCTTGTTTGGTAAATATTAAAATTCAATTAAAATTGAAAATATAATCGTTATTGGATCTAGCTCGTCTAATAAAAGTCAACAATAACGACTAATTTTTCAATTTTAATCTCTACCGAACACGCCATAGATATATTGGATATTCAATTCGATAATTCGATTCGAAATTGAAAAAATTATGAAGATAAAAATTTTATATTTGTCAACTTCTAAACCTTAGAATTAAAAAATCCAAATAGCTTTTTTATTCAATTCTTGGCCCACCTAATTATAGATTTCAAATCATATAATATTCTTGTAAGTATTGATGTGGGAAGTGGGATGTTAGAAACCATTAAAGCAACCCAAGCCGTGTGCCCCTTTGGTTGTTTAATTTATAAAATAATTTAATTATTATTTTTATCTTATTTTAATTAATAAAAAATTAAAAACTCTCTATTTCAATTAACAATATTATACTATTATATAATATTATTCATTATTTGAAAATTATGTGTAAAGTATAATACAAGTTTCGAAATGAAAAAAAAAAAAAAAG